GACCCCACTGTCTGTGGGCTTGGCGGCGGTGGAAGTCCTGTTGCCCGTGGAAGCCCGCCATCCTCACCCTACTCAGAGAAGACGATGCCGGGAGAAAAGAGGATGGAGAGGTGGAGGGAGAAGAGGAGAGTTTGAACGTTGGCGGGCTGGGCCCTGGCGGGAACTCAACTGTAGAGCAGGGCAGTTGCGGGCGTTGCGGGGTATCCAAATACCGCGGAGCGGCAAGCTTGTGCAGCGGACTTTCCGGATGGATCTTCGTCGCATCCACCTTACACGTGGGACACAGGGATGCACTCCCGCCCCGACCACACCCGAAAGGAACTAACAGGTTGTTTATCCCAGAGTGAGCGGGGAAGAGAGAGAGAGAGTCGTACAGAGGGATTTCTAACGTTAGTGTAAGGTAATAGCCGTCGGTGCGTGACATGCACGTGATGAGTTGTGTGTGTGTGGGTTTTTAAATTTGGCTGTTTCAATTTGTATCTCAATTATTATTCATTACTAAATGAATATTGAGTACATAATTTCTTATACCTTATCGCCCAAACAATATTTTGTATTATTTCTTACTACAGTGCTTTATGTGTTAGATGTTATAAGTCAGCTCACTTCTTACCAAGAGCTAAAATAAAAAAATCTAAAGCAACACAAGTAGAAATAATTAAAATATCTCTATTGAGGGTAGAGAAGATGTCTTGAATGTTAGTAGATACACTAAATACACACCTGATTATTATAAATAATAATTTTAGTATTTGGTTAAAATATTATTGTAGAGATATGTTTTATACATTATACTACCTTGTGAGATAAATTTTATCCACTATAATAGAAGGCTTTATATAGTGTACTATTAATGTGATACTCTTGTTATTTTTAGCAATGCCATTTTGAAAAAAATTGCTTGAATATAGTGTGTGTAATATATATATGTATATATATGCAAAAAAAATTCAAGTTTGGATTGTAATTTCTTATGAAGGAAATAAATGCACAAAAGTCAATGAATTATAATTAGGTGTTTTCCAAGTGTTTTATATGAACATCTCTAGACATTTATTCATATGTAGTCCTCAAATATTGAATATTTTTATTTAGTTAACCTTTATTTCTTGTTATCATACATATGGAGAAACAATGTATAAGGCTATAAAATAGATAAAATGAAGCTAAGGAGAGAACAATAGTACAGGAAAAGACACGATTGATGTGACTTGAACCCACCAATGACTAATTAGAAGTCAGATGCCTACATTAAAAATCTATAATGGAAGATTAACACAACCACAAGGGGAAATAATTACAACTTATAGTAGAAAAGACAAACATAAGAACATATAAGAAATGAATGAATTAAACTCAACAATGCACCAACCAAATTTTAACATCATTCACAAAAAGACTATAAATACACATAATTACCATAAAATCTATTACTAGAAACCAAACTATAGTGAAGATATATAGAGATTAGTATTTAAATATTAGAAAATAATTACGATAGAAGTTAATGCAGTCTAAGAGAAGACTCTAAATCCTAAAAGGACTATAAAACCTAAACTAAGTTTGGTGGGGTTTATAAGTCTTTATTATCATGAGTTAATAATTAGTAAATAATATAGTTTTAGCCTTAACTCATGATAAATAGACTTATATTTGTGTTAAAGTGTGAAATTCTTATAATCCTAATTGGAGTAATTTTTCATAGAGAGACCCAAATAATATTCAAAATCTAGAAGCACTTAGACCTAATTACTTGACACCAGTGTTAGTATTAATTTATTACCTGCAAGTATTTGTGATAAATTTAATATTACTGATCTTAAACCTTCTATTGTTACTTTATAATTTATTGATAGATCCATAAAACATCCTAAAGGTATTTTAGAAAATGTGATAGTGACATTTAAAGGGTGTAAATTTCCAGTTGATTTTGTAGTGCTAGAAATGAATTTTAATGGATAGTTTTATGATACACCAACCATCTTAGGGAGACCATTTTTGTATACAACAAAGATGAATATCGATTTTCTCATAGGTATTGCAAAAATTTTATATAAAGATCAATCAGTAGAAATTTAAATTTTTGAGGTAGTAAATGATCTTAAGAAATCTCAAGTATATGATTATCATACCATAGATCTTCTAGATGATTTTCATGATCCAAATGTTATTAATGACTGTGCTGGAAGAATTAGAGGAAGTAGAGAATATAAATTTGAGAGAAAAGAAAGAGGAAGATCATCTGAATTTAGAGTTGAAACCTCTTCCCTTTAGTTTAAAATATATGTTTTTGGAGGAAAATAATTTATTTCCTATTATTGTTGTAGTTGATTTGAGTGATGAATAGGAAGAAGAATGATTAAATGCACTTTGAAAAAATAAGAAGGCTATTGAGTGTAAAATAGATGATCTAAGAGACATTGATATGAGTGTATGCATGTACAATATATATCTAAAGGAGGAGGCTAGAACTAGTAGGGAACCACAATGAAGATTAAATCCTAATATGATGGAAATTGTAAAAAAAGAAATTTTAAAGTGGTTGGTTGTTGATATTATTTATCCTATTTCAAATAGAAAATGGCTTAGTCCTATACAAATGGTGCAAAAAAAATCAGGGATCACGTTTATAAAAAATAAAAATGGGGATGAAATACAAACAAAATTAACTACCAATTGGAGGGCTTACATTGATTATAGAAAATTAAATTCAGTTACTAGAAAAGATTATTTTCCCCTATCATTTACTGAAAAAATTCTAGAAAAATTAGTTGAAAAAAACTTTTTTTGTTTTCTAGATGGATACTCTAGTTATAATCAAATTTATATAAACCCTTTAGATCAAGAAAAAATAACTTTCACTTGTCCATTTGGTACTTTTACTTTTAAACACATGCCTTTTGGTCTATGTAATTATCTAGCCACATTTCAAAGATGTATGTTGTCTATTTTTTATGATATGACAAGAAAATGTATGGAAATTTTTATGGACGATTTTTCTATTTTTGGTGAATCATTTGATGAATGCTTAAATCATTTACAGCATGTATGATAAGTCTTCATTATCATGAGTTAATAATTAGTAAATAATATAGTTTTAGCCTTAACTCATGATAAATAGACTTATATTTGTGTTAAAGAATGATTTTTGGTTTTCAATTGATTAACATGAATTTTTGGGTAATTATGTGATTTTATATGATTTTTATAGTCTTACTTTTGAGATAAATGAAGAACAAGAAATAAAAATAAAAATAAAAATATTGCAAAAATGGGGGGACCTGCTGGCCAGTCGGGCCTGCAAGTGGGTCGGAAGTGCAGTCGGGGAGTAAGCCGCGAGCAAGGGCTCGAGCGGCTTGGCTTGGGGACCGACAGGGCACGCGTATGCCACTCCCCTTCCACATCATCAGTGGCCAGCCGGCTGTGGGGCAAGGAGTGGTCGTACACGCGAGAGAAGGGACTTTGCTGACAAAGCTAACATTACTATATATTCGCCGGAAAAATCGGCGTACAACCGATGTGGGACTAAACCCCCGTCACACCTTCCAAAGAAGAGGCGGGCGACCAACGCGGGTTCGAATCCTTCTAGAGTCAAAATTCATATATTTTTATTTGATTATCACGACTTTCTTGCAGATCGCCGGTGAAGGATTAAGCAACGAGAATCGCTGGATCATCGGCAAAAATCTCGTCAATAAAATTCGCGGAGCATTGCTACTAAAATTACTGAATGATTCGCGATAAAATGATCGTGAATCCATCGAATAATTCATCTCTGATTGATCGACGAACAAGCCGTCGTCGGGAAGAGGACAATCTGCCGGGAGACCAGTCGCCACCTCCTGAGAGCGTACCAGATGCGATGAAGAGCCTCCTCTTGCTGTGCGGACCTGAGGATGAAGCTCCCTGACACGCACCCCACCTCCATCCAGCTCCTCTTCGTCAGGTGACAGCCGCCGAAGAGCCACAAAGTCGCCGTTTTTCCGCTCTGCCGGGTGACAGCCGCCTGAGACGATTCAACGACCCACTTCATTGATCTCTAGACTTCGCGAGAAGATCTAGAGATTGCCCATGTCGTCTTTGTCCAAGGAGAGCCTTCGAGGCCGTGGACACTGCACGACGATCCTTCCAAATGCTCAGGATTCTGGTGCATCGCCAACGCATCACCGTCGCGACGTTGGAACTCTATTTTCCTACTTTCAATTTAATTTACGCTTCATTTAGTGATACTTTGTGTGATTTTAATTTACCAAACTATACTTCGTTCAATTACGATTCTTTTGGCTTTTACAGATCTTAATTTGATTAGTTAAATCGTCTGTAATCGCTTACGTAAGAATTGTCGGGCGGAACTCTATTGCTGCCTGATTCGCATTCGCCGGGCACTAACGTCATCTTGACGTCTGCACCCTTATTTCATTTTTTTCGTGAATTTTAAATATATTTCCTTTTTATTTCTTAGTATAAAATTCATAAGAAAATTGTATTCATTGAGAACAATTCTGAATAATTACCAGATATTATATTACATCCCTATGATCGACCTAGAAAATTACCGCTATTTTTGGAATTTTTATTGAATTATAATTGATAAATTTATTTCGAAATACTTCTAAATATCCGAAAATTTGTATTTTCTAGTTTTATAAATTTTATATTTGCCTGATTTAATATACAACAACTAAGTCACGTCAAATTTTGGCACCGTTGCCAGGGATGTATTACATAATATTTAGTATTTTTCTATTTTTCTCTTAGAGTACACAAAAAAAAAAAACTGAACTCTTGTTTTATTTTCTTTTTACCGATTTTTATTAGAAAAAGGGAACGAAAAGAAGCACGGCAAGGACTGGAGCATCCTGAAGGAGGGTAACAGTTACTAACTTTTTCCCTCGAATTTATTGATTTTTATGCATGGTAGAAGATCCTTGCATCCAAGGCTAGAAAATCCTTTCATTTTTTCATTCAAAAATAAAAATCTGAAAGAAAAATTAATTTTGATGGATCTTGAAGGAAGTACAGGTCAAATTGAGAACAATCCTATGGCCATGAAAAATCATTATATCTCTGATTCATTTCAAAGAGCATCTAATATTAGAGTCCCATTAGCACCCACTGTTAAATTCGAAATAAATCTAGAAATTTTTCAAATACTCCCTAATTTTCATGGATTGCCTTTAGAGGAACCTCATCAGCACTTAGAAAAATTTCATATGGTTTGTGATTTAGTTAATCTCCCTCAAGTTACACTGGAAATTATTAAGATGAAATTATTCCCTCATACACTTAGGGACAAAGCCAGTCATTTGCTATCCATATTAGATAGAGAATTAACTAGCTGGAAAGATATAGAATAGGCCTTTCTTCGAAAATTTTATCCCTTAGGAAAAACTCAAAATATGAGAAAACATATATGGAGTTTTTCTCAAAGACCAAGAGAAACTTTGCATGAGACATGGGAAAAATTCAAAGATTTACTTAGAAAGTGTCCTCATCATGCTATACCCAAGTGGCAGCTCAATAGAATTTTTTATGATGGATTATTAGAACAACATAGAAATATGGTTGATTCTATATGTGGAGGAGCTTTTATGGAGAAAACTCTTGATGAGATTTACAATCTTTATGAGAATTTAAGTGAAAATTCTAGAGATCAAGCCTCTTTTGAATTATATGACAGGGATAAGAAGAGAGGAATTTATGAATTGTATCATGATGATAATTCTAAACTTAGAAATGAGGTTAATTAGATTAATCAAAGATTAGAAAAAATTTATTTACTTATTGAAAATATTAGAAAGCCTTTTAACCCTCAACTTAATTCGAATAGTACATGTCCTATGTATGGTGAAAATGATTATTCTAAATTTCAATGTTATAATTTAGATCAATCATTTCACCCTATGCAAGAACAAGTGCAAGTAGCTCACGGTTTTAATAGAAATAGGGAACATTTTTCAAATTCTTATAATCTTAATTGGAAGAATAATTTTTCATGGAGAGACCCAAATAATATTCAAAGTCCAGAAGCACTTAGACCCAATTCAAACTCTGAATTTCGTCCAAAACAAGAAAATAGATTTCAGAAAAATCAGCCCTCTCAAACTCAACCTGATGCTATAGAAATTATGCAGCAAATGAGCCAAATGATGCAACAAACTATGAATCAAATGATGCAACAAACTATGAATCAAATGATGTTGCATCAGAAACAAATTATAGAGGCTCTTGAGAATAAGAGAGAAGAGGGATAGCTACCTAGTCAGCCCATAGAAAATTCAGAAAACTATCCAATAGTAAGATTTCAGCAAGAAGAGTCTAGCTGGATAAATTTAGAAAAAAACCCACGAAATGAAAATGATAGGACAGTGAATACATTAAGCGAGAATATTTTACTTGATCCTTATTTCCAATTATTAGAAGAAATTGATGATCCATTAGAAGTAAATGAGAATATTAAGGCCAAAAATATAGTAGCAGAAAATTTGAATAAAATCATTTATTGCTCACAATTGATGAATGAATATAGTGAGGATGATGAGGAGAATAAACCCTTAAATGAAGAAACAGCAACTGATCATAGAAAAATCATCTAAATTTTACTAGAAGGGAGTAAGGACAGAAATGAAGAAAAATATATTTCAAGTGAGGAAAAATCAATTGATTTGGGAGATGTAGGAGACAAAATTAATGAATCTAATCATAATTTGGCAGCCATGGATGTTGATTGTGAGGATGATGATGTATATCATATACCAAAATTAAAAGATAGCTCTTGGGAAGATGAAGAATTTGATGAGTTGAGAAACAAAAAGCTAGAAAAGGAATTGATTCAACTAATGGGAACAAATGAAAATAATAGATATGAATATAGAGATAATTTTGGAGGAGAAAATTTGAATTTTACTGAATTCATTAGATCTGAGATTAAAGAAGACAATCCTTCCATCCTTCAAAACCCACAGCCCATTAGAATTATTTCTAAGCTTGAAATATTTCACTTCTCGCAAATTGAACAAATATGTATAGAAGATAAAATGGAGCAGGGGAAGATTATGCAGATAAAAGAAGACATTAAGAAATGGGTGAGTGGAAGAATTAGAGTTACCAATTTAGATGAAAAAATTTTAGATTGGGCAAGAGCTAATTTGAAAATTATATGGCCTGATCACATTTTATGGTTTATTAATAGAAAGTATTTATTAATGAATGAGAGCCTAACAAAACTAAATAGAAATAAGGAAAGATTCTTTTCAAAATGGAAATATTATTTTTGGGAAAAAATTATTTTAATTTCCATTTTGTTTTGGCTAAAAGTATGTCAAGGTATATATATGAAGTATATGAATTTATGCTAAATCTGAAAAAGAATATCATGAAACTTATCTTGGGATACAAATATATTTTGATGGCCATAGATCATCTTATATGATATAAGAGCTGTCCAGCCGGAGACATTAAATTCAGCGCTGCATGGGAGGCAACCCATGGTTTTTATTTCACTCTGTTTGATTTTTTTAAGCTCTATTTTTCTTAGAATTTCGTAGTACTTGTTTCTGTATTTCTTTTTTTTTGAAAAAATGCAAGAGAAGGAGTGTAAGATGAAGTGGAAAATCAAAAACGAGGTTGAGGTGATGTCTTTCTGAGCTTCATCATTTATGAAAATATTTTTAATGCTTAACTTTGCAGATATGCATGCTTCACTTGAAAATTATATTTTCTGCATATTCTGTTTCGAGTTTTCTGTGTCATTGAGGACAATGTCATTTTTAAGTTGGGGGGTGAAGTATTCATTATTAATTTATGTTGTAGGACGATTAAGACCATGTGTTCACATTTTATTCAACTTAGAACAGCAACTAAAAAAATAAAAATAAAATAAAATTCGGAAAAATTGCAACATCTATTTTTTGGTTTTCTGTCAGAAGCAACAGACTGTCAAAAATAGCAGACAAAAAACAGCCCGAAATTTGAAATCACAGAAGACCCTTTTCTCACATTTCAATCCCCTAGATATATATTACTGAAATTCGAAATTACAGCTATAAAGAAGATAGTTTTGATTTATTTTTGACAAATTTATTGCTGCTAAAAATAGAACTGAAAACATAAAACGGAATTGTCAGAACTATCTAATTTACAAATTCCTTACATCATATTACATGCATGAAAAGTTAAATCAATTAGATTGATTGATACCAAAAGATACTAGGAAGATTATTATTGAGTCAAAAGAACGATCTAGTAGCATAAATGTTGGAATACTCCTTGGATACATGATAGATAACATGGATTTGATTTTACTGATTTTCACTTCATGATCTTGATGGATAGTATTTACTTGATGTGAAAATTTGATTGATCATTTGAGTTTAATGGAGATTTTTACACTCTGATCTATAGGACTTTGAGGAGAAATCACTTATTTCGAAAAAAAAAGAAAAAAAAAGAGAGAGCAATGTGAAAAATCTAGAAACGAAGAGTACACATGGAGGGTGTGAGACATCATTCTCATTGTCGAAAATCGTGCATAGAAAAACACTTTCTGAAAAATAAGTGGATAAAGTGAAAGTCCTGAAAATGAAGAGTACACATGGAGGGTGTGAGACATCATTCTTATTGTCAAAATTTGTCTACAGGAAAAGCTACTTATCCACTATTTATAAAAAAAAAAAAAAAAAAGAAGGAAGAAATATAGTGCAAACTTTAAAAATCAAGTCATAGAAAAAGGGAAATGTAAGATCAATATAATTCTTGGATGAGTATTGATAGTTGGAACATCTTGTAAATACATCTATGAGTGAAAAAGTGATAAAGATGTGAATAGAAGAAGTGAAGTCTAGATTGTTATTCCAAGGAGTGTTTAAACATTTAAGTGCTTGGCATCATTCTTAAATACTTGATATAAGAATCCAAAGTGTTTAACGGTGCATCATTTCTAATTATATTTTTTTTTCTGTATTGAAATATGATGTTTGAGATTTGTAAATTTTTATTTTCGTAATTCTATTGCCAAGAGAGTAGTAATGATTTAAGTTGGGGGGTGTGATAAGTCTTCATTATCATGAGTTAAGAATTAGTAAATAATATAGTTTTAGCCTTAACTCATGATAAATAGACTTATATTTGTGTTAAAGAATGATTTTTCGTTTTCAATTGATTAACGTAAATTTTTGGGTAATTATGTGATTTTATACAATTTTTATAGTCTTACTTTTGAGATAAATGAAGAACAAGAAATAAAAATAAAAATAAAAATATTGCAAAAATGGGGGGACTTGTCGGCCAGCCGGGCCCGCAAGCGGGTCGGAAGCACAGTTGGGGAGTAAGCTGCGAGCAGGGGCTCGAGCGGCTTGGCTTAGGGACTGACAGGGCACGCGTACGCCACTCCCCTTCCACGTCATCGGTGGCCAGCCGGCTGTAGGGCAAGGAGTGGTCGTACATGCGAGAGAAGGGACTTTGCTGACAAAGCTAACATTACTATATATTCGCTCGAAAAATCGACATACAACCGATGTGGGACTAAACCCCCGTCACACCTTCCTCAGAAGAGGCGAGCAACCAACGTGGGTTCGAATCCTTCTAGAGTCAAAATTCATATATTTTTATTTGATTATCGCGACTTTCCTACAGATTGCTGATGAAGGATTAAGCAATGAGAATCGCTGGATCATCGGCGAAAATCTCGTCAATGCGATTCGCGGAGCATTGCTACTAAAATTGCTGAACGATTCGCGATAAAAGGATTGCAAATCCATCGAGTAAATCATCTCCGATTGATCGACGAACAAGCCGTCGTCGGGAAGAGGACGATCCACCGGGAGACTAGTCGCCACCTCCTGAGAGCGTACCAGATGCGATGAAGAGCCTCCTCTTGCTGCGCGGACTTGATGATGAAGCTCCCTGACACGCGCCCCACCTCCATCCAGCTCCTCTTCGTCGGGTGACAGCCGCCGGAGAGCCACAAAGTCGCCGTTTTTCCGCTCTGCCGGGTGACAGCCGCCGGAGACGATTCGACGACCCACTTCATTGATCTCTAGACTTCGCGAAAAGAGCTAGAGATTGCCCACGTCGTCTTTGTCCAAGGAGAGCCTTCGAGGCTGTGGACATTGCACGACGATCCTCCCAAACGCTCAGGATTCCAGTGCATTGTCAATGCATCGCCGTCGTGACGCTGGAACTCTATTTTTCTACTTTCAATTTAATTTAATTTACACTTCATTTAGTGATACTTTGTGTGATTTTAATTTACCAAACTATACTTCATTCAATTAGGATTCTTCCGACTTTTACAGATCTTAATTTGATTAATTAAGTCGTCTATAATCGCTTACGTAAGAATCACCAGGAGGAACTCTGTTTCAGCTTGATTCGCGTTCGCCAGGCACTGACATCATCCTGATGTCCGCACCCTTATTTCCTTTTTTTCGTGAATTTTAAATATATTTCCTTTTTATTTCTCAGTATAAAATTTGTAAGAAAATTGTATTCATTGAGAAAAATTCTGAATAATTATCAGATATTATAACATCCCTGTGATTGGCCTGGAAAATTACCGCTATTTTTGAAATTTTTATTGAATTATAATTGATATATTTATTTAGAAATACTTCTAAATATCTGAAAATTCGTATTTTCTTGTTTTATAAATTTTATATTTGCATGATTTAATATACAACGATTGAGTCATGTCAATGTACTTAAGAAATTGACGTGACTCAGTCATTGTATGTTAAATCACGTAAATATAAAATTTATAAAACTAGAAAATATGAATTTTCGGATATTTAGAAGTATTTCAAAATAAATATATCAATTATAATTCAATAAAAATTCCAACAATAGCGGTAATTTTCCAGGTCGATCACAGGGATGTAATATAATATCTGGTAATTATTCAGAATTTTTCTCAATGAATACAATTTTCTTACGAATTTTATACTAGGAAATAAAAAGGAAATATATTTAAAATTCTCGAAAAAAAGGAAATAAGGGTGCGGGCATCAGGATGACGTCAGCGCCTGGCGAACGCGAATCAGGCGGAAACAGAGTTCCACCCGGCGATTCTTACGTAAGCGATTACAGACAACTTAATTAATCAAATTAAGTCTGTAAAAGCCGGAAGAATCGTAATTTAACGAAGTATAGTTTGGTAAATTAAAATCACACAAAGTATCACTAAATGAAGTGTAAATTAAATTGAAAGTAGGAAAACAGAGTTCCGACATTGCGACGGCGATGCGTCGGCAATGCACCGGAATCTTGAGCGTTCGGGAGGATCGTCGTGCAGTGTCCACAGCCTCGAAGGCTTTCCTTGGTCAAAGACGACGTGGGCAATCTCTAGATCTTCTCGCGAAGTTTAGAGATCAATGAAGTGAGTCGTCAAATCGTCTCCGGCGGCTGTCACCCGGTGGAGCGAAAAATGGCAACTTTGCGGCTCTCCGGCGGCTGTCACCCGACGGAGAGGCGCTGGATGGAGGTGGGGCGCGTGTCAGGGAGCTTCATCCTCAGGTCCGCGCAGCAAGAGGAGGCTCTTCATCGCATCTGGTACGCTCTCAGGAGGTGGCGACTGGTCTCCCGGCGGATCGTCCTCTTCCCGACGACGGCTTGTTCGTCAATCAATCGGAGATGATTTACTCGATGGATTTGCGATCCTTTTATTGCGAATCATTCAGCAATTTTAGTAGCAATGCTCCGCGAATCGCGTTGACGAGATTTTCGCCGATGATCCAGCGATTCTCATTGCTTAATCCTTCACCGGCGATCTGCAAGAAAGTCGCGATAATCAAATAAAAATATATGAATTTTGACTCTGGGAGGATTCGAACCTGCGCCGGTCGCCCTCCTCTTCTGAGGAAGGTGTGACGGGGGTTTAGTCCCACATCGGTTGTACACCGATTTTTCGGTCGAATATATAGTAATATTAGCTTTGTGAGCAAAGTCCTTTCTCTCACGTGTATGACCACTCCTTGTCCCACAGCCGGCTGGCCACCGGTGACGTGGAAGGGGAATGGCGTACGCGTGCCTTGTCGGTCCCCAAGCCAAGCCGCTCGAGCCCCTGCTCGCGGCTTACTCCCCGACTGTGCTTCCGACCTGCTTGCGGGCCCGGCTGGCCGGCGGGTCCCCTCATTTCTGTAATATTTTTATTTTTATTTCTTGTTCTTCATTTATCTCAAAAGTAAGACTGTAAAAATCGTATAAAATCACATAATTACCCAAAAATTCACGTTAATCAATTGAAAACCAAAAATCATTCTTTAACACAAATATAAGTCTATTTATCATGAGTTAAGGCTAAAACTATATTATTTACTAATTATTAACTCATGATAATGAAGACTTATCAGAAATGTCTAGAGAAAAAATTAGTTTTGAGTTGGGAGAAATCACATTTTATGGCTAGAGAGGGAGTTGTGTTGGGTTATATTGTGAGTGAAAATTAGGTGAATAGAGCAAAAATAGATATTATATCTAAAATGAAACCTCCAAATTCAGTAAAAGAGATTAGATCTTTCTTGGGTCATGTAGGTTATTTTAGAAAATTTATTCAAGATTTTTCAAAAATTTCTAAACCTCTCACCATATTATTATCTAAAGATGTGCCTTTTAATTTTGATGAGAAATGTTTTGAGTCTTTTTCTGAAATAAAAAGATTATTTACTGAGGCACCCATTTTACAAGCTCTTGATTGGTCCTTTCCCTTTGAAATAATGTGTGATACATCGAATTATGCAGTGGGGACCATTCTAGGACAAACAAAAGAGTCAAAACCCATAGTAATTTCATATGCTAGTAAAACTATATTTGATGCTCAATTAAATTGTACCACGATTGAAAAAGAGTTGTTCGTTGTAGTATTTTTATTAAAAAAGTTTAAATCAAATATTTTCAGAGCTAAAATTATTATTTATACTGATCATGTAGTATTAAAATATTTGTTAAATAAGAAAGATGTAAAGTCACGTTTATTAAGATGAACTTTATTGTTGTAAGAATTTGACTTAGAAATAAAAGATAAAAAAGGTTTCGAGAATGTTGTTGTTGACCATCTTTCTAGATTAAGTGATATAGGAATAAATGTAGCACCTTTACAAGACATATTTCTATATGAACAATTGATGGCAGCTCAACATCAACCATCACCATGGTATGTACATATTGTTAATTTTCTGATTTCTAGAAAAATTTCAGAATAGTGAGATAAGAATAGAAAACATCATTTCTTTTCTAAGATTAGAAATTATTTTTGGCATGATCTTGATTTACATTAGTTGGGCAATGATCAAATTTTAAGGAGATATGTTCCTGAATAAGAATATCATAATATTATTAACATGTGCCATTCATCTAATTGTGGAGGACATTTCTTCGAACGAAAAATAGCTACAAAAAGTTTTCAGTGTAGTTTTTATTAGCCTACAATCATTAGAGATTCTATAGAATTTAGTAGAACACATATTTCATGCCAATCTATAGGTAACATGAGTAAGAAAATATGAAATGTCCATGAGTAATATGTTAGTAGTCGAAATTTTTCATGCATAGGGAATAGATTTCTAAGCTTTTCTATTAGATCTGAGAATAATAGATTTCATGGAAATAATAGATTTCATGGGTCCCTTCCCAACAGCTGAAAAATATGAATATATTTTACTTGTTGTTGATTATGTGTCGAAGTGAGTTGAAGCTATTCCTACTAGAAGTAATGATCATAAAATCGTGATGAAATTTATGTAGGAAAACATTTTTTCGAGATTTGGATGTCCTAGAGTGATTATTAGTGACAGAGGAACACATTTTATAAATAAACATTTCAAGGAACTATTGAAAAAGAATAGAGTACACCATAGAGTAGGAAAATTCAAAGAATTTTGAGAAAAATAGTTAGACTAAATAGGAAAGATTGACGCATGAAATTACAAGATGTATTATGGGCCTATAGGACAGCTTGTAAAAATCTCATAAGTATGTCCCCATTTCATCTTCTTTTTAGAAAGCCATGTCATCTTCTTGTGGAAATAGAGCATAAAGCATTATGGGCTATAAAAACTTTATGTATAGATGAAAAATCAGTTGGTGGGCATAGAATTTTTCAGTTACATGAACTAGAGGAGTTGAGAAATGAAGCTTATGAAAATCATAGAATATATAATGAAGAAACTAAAATTTTTTATTATAAATATATTAGCAGAAATTTTTTGATGTTGGACAAAAAGTGTGGTTATATGATTCTAGGCTGAAATTATTTCCAAAAAAATTAAAATCAAAATAGATAAGCCCTTATATGGTGCAAGAGACATGACCATGGGGCTGTAATAATTAAAGATCCTAAAAGTGATCATAACTTGAAGGTAAATAGATAGCGACTTAAACATTACATAGAACACGAACGCCTTGCAAATAAAGAAATTTTATTATTAAAAGAAATTCAAGAGTAAGATCAAGGTGTCTAGCTGGAGACATTAAATTCACGCTGCATGGGAGGCAACCCATGGTTTTTATTTCATTTTGTTTGATTTTTTTAAGCTCTGTTTTTCTTAGAATTTTGTAATACTTGTTTTTGTATTTGTTCTTCTCAAAAAAGTACAAGAGGAGTGTAAGATGAAGTGAAAAATTAAAAATGAGGTTGAGGTGATGTCTTTCTGAGCTTTATCATTTATGACAACATTTTTAATGCTTAACTTTGCATATATGCATGCTTCACTTGAAAATTATATTTTTCTGTATATTATGCTTCGATTTTTTTGTATCATTAAGGACAATGTGATTTTTAAGCTGGAAGGTGAAGTATTAATTATTAATTTACATTGTAGGACGATTAAGAATATGTGTTTGCATTTTATTTTTATTTTTTCATGCTCACTTAGAACAGCAACAAAAAAAAATAAAAATATATGAAAATTCAAAAAACTACAACATCTATTTTAAGGTTTTCTATCAAGAACAATAGCCTGTCAAAAATAGCAAACAAAAAGTAGCTCGAAATTTAAAATTCTAGAGACCCTTTTCTCACATTTCAATCCCCTAGACATATATTACTGAAATTCAAAATTACAGTTATAAAGAGGAAAGTTTTGATTTATTTTTAATAAATTTATTGTTGCTAAAAA